CAAGTACGGAAAGTGAGTACTTTTGACCATCACAACTCCGGTGCAAGTCCAGCACCATGGACAAGTTGGTTCACCATGGGATCATGGTGGCAGGTGCTGATAAAGATAGCTTTACCATTTGTAGGATTGTTTTTCATATTTTTCCTTTTTATTTGTTGCTTACTACCATGTCTCCAGTCAATGATTCAGAGAATGATAAGATCCACTCTTATCCAGTATTCAGCTGTAACTCATGTTCAACTCCGCCAAGATGCTGATAAAGATACTGATGATTTGCAACTGTGTAATATGTTACAGGGATAATGAGTGCTTCCTCAGGGAGGATCGGGTAGGAATTTTCCTCTATTGGAGATGTTTTGCCTACTCAAGGGACAGATTTTTTAAGCTTTTTACATTCTTGATAAATCTTACATTTTGGCTTAAGTTTTACATTTTAATCCTTTTCATATTTTTGTTTTTTGCATATTGATCTGTGATTACTGAATTCCCTATCTGCCATGCATTTGTGATGTGTGTAGTAATATTTTTAGAAGTTCTACATGCTGATGTTTATATGCACAACAGGAGGGAAATGTCAGGTTTATTCAATGATGATTGTAAAATTAATGTGTGCTTATTAAACATTCAGTCAGGAGACCATCCTGCCTTGTCATTCTGATGGAGCATCTTGTCTTTATGAACTGATCAATTGTTCTCTCAGAACAAATACTGTTTTGTAACCATGTGTTATGTTCTGTTAATAAAAGACGGCTGCAGGAGAGGATTGGGAGAAAGAAAGCTTGAAGTTGGGTTGGGCTTTTTCTTTCTGCTCCTGCAGAAGTTACTTGAATCTCTTTCCTGTGTAGACTCAATTTCAATTTTTTTTTACAAACCTACATTTTCTGAATCTAACACATACATTGGACCCAGAGGAGTAAAGGAGCGGACTGTCACTTGGTTTTCCAGGAGTGGACTTGAACGATTCATGTGGAGGTTTTCCCCTTGCTCAGTGAGACTCAGTAAATCATTCCAGGCGTAGAAGGTCCAGGCTTATCCAGTAACACAGGAAGTCTTCCTGACGAAGAACAAAGACAAAAAACAAGTTCAGACTCAGAGAAACAATGCTAAGGTTAGACTCTGCTAATCTCAATTTGGCTAAAGTACCCAATACTGGCAAACACTCACAGGTGGTGACAGCCCGCTGCTCAAGTACACCTCTGGTAATGACCCAATGAGCCGCAGGGGTGCAGGGAGGCCCAACGAGGACAGGGCACCGCCTGGTGGTGGAGAGAGGAAAACACAAAAAACAACCCACACAAACTGGAATCCTCACACTAAATTGAGATGCTCAAAGATTGGAATAATGTTCTTGAAGCTAATCCCACTTTAAACCAAACCAAAACATGTTCCTTGGTCTTCATGATGCTAGTTGTCTTCAGATTTTTCCCCCAGCGTTTTATTGTCATAACACATTTGCAAGTACAAAGCAACGAAATGAACACTCTGCATTTAACCGATCCCCTTGGGGAGCAGAGTGTTGCCATTGTGCGGCGCCCAAGAGCAGTGTGGGGTGAAGGGTCTTGCTCAGGGACCCACAGTGGCAGTCTGTGGGAGTGGGGCTTGAACACAGAACCTCAGGAATCCAAGCTCTGTGCCCTAACTAGGCCACCACTCCCTGATGCTTTCTGTGGCC